TACGAGTGCCCCTGTGTGTGAAATCCCTGCAGAAGCCAAAAGAGGAAGCTGGATCTCCTGGAAATAGAGTGGGTGTTGGGTTTGGAAAACGAACCCAGGTCCTCTTCAAGAGCAGACAGTGCTCTTGACTGCTGAGCTATCTCTCCAGCCCTAACAAGAGTTTTTTTTTTTTTTTTAAAAAAACATTTATGTGAATATGTCTGTGTCTGTGTGTATGCACTCCAGCCTCTATATTATTATTATTATTATTGTTATTATTATTATTATTACCACCACCACTACCACCACTACTACTACTATTATGAGATAAGACCCAGGCTGGACTCAAATTTGAGATCCTGTCTTAGACTTCCAGCAGTATAACCCTGGAGCTCGTATGAAAAGGATGGCTCACCACACCTGACTGTGATAGTTATAACTTATAGTGCTTAAATGAATTATCACCTGTTAAAAGTGTCTGGTCTATAGTAATTATTGACTATGGTTATAATGAAAGAATATTTATTTACTATCACTTAGGATATTAATTTTGCCACATACTTTAAAGGCAGCGGTAAAAGAGAAATTCTAAAACTGTTGTATGCATCATTGGAGGAAGAAGGGGCTGAAAGAAAACCGTATCAGTTTGCAATGTGAAAGTCCTTCGAACCTCCTTACAGGTGGTACCCAGGTCACCTTATTTATCTGTGGCTACTCCTTTATCAAATGAAGATTAGGTTAAGTTTGAAGGTGTCTGAACTGGTGCTAAATGAGCCCTAGCGGAATGTCATGGTGCTCTTTGATGGATCACCGCCAGGCTTGCTGTTTCCTTAAGTAATGTGGAAAGGCGAACACTTTCCTGTTGCAATTATAACACGGTCACGTCTGGAGAAGATTACAGCCCTAGCTTAGCTTAAGGGGGAACTTAAATTGGAGGACCTTTTCGTCATTATTCCAGACCTTTCTCTGAACCGAGCTTCTCCACGTGGTCAAGATGTGCTTGTCTTGCAAACGGCTCACCTTGGCCTCCCTCCCTTCCTGGGGACGAGTTAACCACAAGGGGCGGGTTGCTATTTACAACTCTGGCCACACGGTGGCACTTCGCACCCAACAATTCCTGGTTTTGCAGTTCCTTGGGGGAACTGCGCTTTTCTGTGCTTGTCTTGCTGAGGGACAGGTCTGCCCCCTCACTGCTGTCCTGCGTCCTGAAGAAAGGGCTCTGATTTGAAAAACAAACCGGGAGCTTACACATGCAAATCAAAACTCCAGCTGTAGTAGGCGGGAGAAAACCGGCCCAGGGCAAACCAGGAAATTGACTTTCCTTGAAATGAAGGCATCACCTGACACCCTGAGCGTCTTCCCGGTAAAAAGAGAGGGGTCAGTTCCAGTTCTGATTCCAACTGATGTGGGCCTCATTGAGGCCTCTTAGCTTCTCTGCACCCCTGTTTTTCAGCTTTGGGTGGTGACAGTAACGATAATAGAAACTACAGGGTTGTGGCTAAGAGAACCAAAGGTAACGTGGAGCAGAAGGACATTGCTGGTCTTCGGTCTTTAATGTGCAAAAATGGCAATTCCGTGTGATTTATCCTAAAGCACGTGGAGACCACTGCCGGGCACTCTGCAGGCTGCGGTAAAAGCTAAGGATTATTTTCACAGGTGTTGTGACAAAAGCAACAATAGGGCTTGCTGTGGGCATTTAGAGAATCAAGTCCCTGGTCGGGACTGTTTTCCTGGAGATTCTTCCTGAAGTCATTCTTCTGGCTTCTGCATGCTAAAGAGCCAACTATGAAAATATGTCTCCAAAAATCTGGAGCCCTTGGTTTTGATTTTTGTTTTTTCTTTATTTGTTTGCTTTCTGAGACAGGGCCTCATCATAAAGCCCAGGCTGAATTTGAGTTCACCATCCTCCTGCCTCAGCCTCCTTAGGCATGCTAGTCACCAAATCCCCCTCTGGCACACAGGGTCTTGCTGTATTACCCAGTCTGCTTTGGAACAATTCTCCCATCTCAGCTTCCCAGCTATCTCTGTCCACAAGAAAACCCCATTGTGCTTGGCTCCAAAGTCTGGTTCATTACCACAGCCTACCATTGGCCAAGTCATCCCAGCCAACCCACCTTTCAGTGAGATGTTAGTCATACCAGGGGAGAAAATCAGGTTTAACACAATACTACACAGATGCAATTGCAAAACACACAACAAAACCAGAGAAGGGTGGGATTTTTCTCTCCAGATCCTTGCCTTCACACCCTCCTCATTTACTTCCTTAAATAGTAGCAACTTAACTCTGGTGACCTCTGTGTGGCGCCTTGACTTTCCCCACTGTTCTATGAACAGGACAGTCTTAGCTGTCTCACTGGATCTGATTATGTGTCTTCAAAGATGTATCCAATGAAGCTGTGTCTTTACATACATACATCTAATTGGAAGAACAATGTCTGAACCCAGTGTACCAATGATTAACTAAAAGTTAAAAAGGCAAACACAGCAGAAGACATGCTCTGTGACTCTGTGTGTGTGTGTGTGTGTGTGTGTGTGTGTGTGTGTGCGTGCGTGTGTGTGTGTGTGTGGTTTAAGAGCAAGCAAAGCTCATCTACGGTGACAAGAGCCAGGGCAGTGGGTGCTGGGTGGCTGGGCTGGCAGCAAAGGATCCCTGAGGGAACTTCCTGTGATGATAGAGACTCTCTGTGTCTACACTGTGATGTAAGTGGTATACACGTTTCCCAAAACTCAAGGGACTGTTCACTTCAGATCATTAAAGGTAGTCACAAAAGCTGTCCCTCCAAACAATGATGGTAGCAGAGGCAGGAAAGTCTGTGAGGTCACAGAGGGGGAAGGGTGGTTCCACAGAGACAATTCCTCCCTGGCAGCTTCCACAACTGAAAAACCATGTGAAATGCCAGCTAATTTTCCAGACAGCTTCAAAACCCAGAGATGGTTTTCTTCTTGCATCTACTGTGTCTTTTCAGATGTTTACAGAGTATTTACAAAAAGTGGTCCTTTGGGTGGCAGTTGTAATTAAGGAAACTGGCAGAGAAAATTAACACATACCATAAAAGAGGGATAATTAGTCCTCTGCCATATACAATATTATTATCAAATGGCATTCACCCAGGAATCCAGTTGGTTTATACACACTGGCCCTTGTTGTAGGCAAGATCCTCCCTTCCTTGTTACTGAGTATGAAGCTGCCACGTTCCGTGGATGATGGGCCATATGGTACTTAACATCAGAATCAAAATGAGCTTGTGCTTTTTGTGTGAGATGCTGAAACTTATTAGAAAATCAGAAAGCCTAATTTCTACCAACTTCCCGAGACCTACCATCTGCTTCATGAAAAAGAAAGAGGGAGTTGTTTTGTATGTGCGCATGTGAGCATGTGTGTGTGTGTGTGTGTGTGTGTGTGTGTGTGTGGTGTGTGTTTAACCATTTATTTACTTATTGTGAAATGTGAGCATGTGGGTGTATGTGTTTGAAAAAGCAAGGTGGGGACTGAGCTGCTGCAAGGGAAAGCCAGTGCTAGCTCACTTGGCAGGGCAGAAAGAGGAGCTGTCAGCTGAATGGCGGCTTGGGAAGCATAATTATGGAAATCATCTATTTCAGAGACTTTTTCCCCCTCCTGGCCACATGTCCCTTCCACTTAGGATTATTGCATAGAGTCTAACTTTTGCAAATACTCAAAATGCCCACTTCAGAGAGAAGAGGGGGCATCACTAAGCCTCAGTGGAATGAGTGGAAATAGCCAGGAAAACCTTGTCAAGGGAGCTCGCTGCGTAGGAGGGGCTCTGAAGGAAAGCCTGGTGAGATGGCACCTTTCTTCAAGCAGGAACCTCTGAGACAAAGATGGCCATGTGCCTTCAGGAGGACACCAGTGTTTGGACATTGATTTTAGGAGTCCATCTCAGCCTCCTGCATCATCGAGTCCATGAGATGTCTTAACCATGAGTCACATCTCAGTAGTTGCTCACTATAGCCAGGAGGGTCTAGCGCACCCTCTTCCTTGAGTTTGTTGTATTTATTTATTTGAATTCTTGCTGCCAGGTCTGTTGGAATTGCCTCAGACAACATTCAAGGAAGCTAGTTAGTGGTTGGGTTTCTTGTCTGTGACCCCCAAGTAACACTCAGGAAATAGACTTCAGGCACCTGCCTATCATAGCCTGAAACAAAGCAATGAGGGGGTGGGAGGATGAGGCTTTCAGGCACCTGGGGGCATCACTTGATAGCATTATAAGGTCAAGTGCTGGTTGAGTCAGGCCCTTTCTTGGGGACTATCCAAACTGACTTTAATTAGAGGCCTCCCAGTAGACAGTCTCCTGTAAAAGGAAGTATTCCTGCAGGAGCCTAGGGGTATTTCTGAAGCCAAGTTCAGGGTTCTGGGAACATACTTATGACCTGGCTTCCAGAAACAGCCCTGCTGTACTCAGCACCTGGCCTCCTCAGGTGCTCACAAGGCTAACATCATGTAGATAAGTCAATGTGTTGTGTGAAGAGAGGAGTGACTTTGTGAAGGTCTATCAGCACGCAGGATTTTCAGCCTCCATTTCATCCAGTCTCAGAATGAATCAGACACCAGTGACCTCAGGTGTGGTGAGGAGGAAAGGGCATGTGTAGGGGAATCCATAGGCAGAGACTTCTTGTCCGGAGGGTCTGACAGGACTGAGACATCCCCATCCTTCAGCCTCACAGTATGGCCAGCCTCCCAGTACTCTGTTGGTCTCTGTTGTGCTAGGTACAACCTCCTTGGGGACAGTACAGCACTGTTTGGTGTTGGCACCTCTCAGAGAGGTGCATCAGGCTTCAGGCAGTACTCCTGAGAGCTTAGCATCAGAGGTGTGCACTCTCTGGGGTGTCAGGTGTCAGCTCCACTTGCTTCCATCAGGGACAGCCTTGCTTTCAGCTTCCTTCTAGTGCAGAGGTCTGTGGTTAGGTCCTGACTTCTCTGTGGAACACTACCACCTCCACAGACAGCTTCCAGAGGTGTGTGATCCGGCAAAACACCAGATTGGGAGTTGCAGCCTGCAGACAAGTCGCTGGGTACCATGGTAAGCAGCTGTCAGTGGCCTCTATTCTGCCTGATTCTGACTCCTCAAACTCTCCCAGTTTCTATTTCCTGGGCAAATATTTCTATTTCTTTTTCTTTTTCTTTTTTTTTTTTGAGACAGTCCTATGTAGCCCACCCTTGCCTTGCACTCAATATGTACCTGAACTGATCTTCCTACTTCCACATCCAGAGTGCTGGGATGATATGGTGTGACCATGGGATGATATGGTTTGTATGGGACTTGGTATTAAACCCACAGCTCTTATACATGCTAGACAAGTACTCTACTGGCTATTAGGCCCCCGGCCCTTCAGTGCATCTTCTCTGAGAAGCATGACTCGAGCACTGATCATGCTGTTTCACTGCAGGAAGAAGGAACCATTCTGAATTTCCAGGTGAACTCACTGAGGTTTGGTGAAGGGACAGTGTTAAACAGCACATATCACTTGGGTGAGCAATCAGCCTTCTTGGTCTGACTCTAAAACCATGAGTCCGACAATAGTCTTCAAATCGAGGAAGCATCATGGTTTCCAGTTAGCTCATGGGCAGACTGGGTTCAGAAAGGTTAGACCATTTGCCCCAAACCACACGGTTCTAAGGCATAGGAACAGAAACTCATTTGGTTCTAGAGCCCAAGCCTTTCCCCGTAAGCTGCTCCATCTGCTGGCCTCAATGAGGCAGTATTACAGGACAGAGCTCTGTTCCCCAGCCTACAGATGGCAGGTACTGTCAGGAGGACTGGATAGAGAATGCAGAAAGCCACCTTTACAGGAGAAAGATTTAGTTAGCCCTTAATATTTTTCAGATTCTAATATTTCCTTTAAACGCCGACACCTCTCAGTTGTACCTGGGTTAGGACCCAAATACCCTTTGGGAGATTGGGATGCCCAACCAGGGACAGTCCCTGCCAGCTTGTTGGTATGGCTGATTGCAGAGCTTTAGAGAAATCTAGTGCTATGCAATTCCTGCCCGTTTCCATGTAGTCCTTGAACATATGATGAGGGTGTCCTCTGAGAATCCCCTGCCACCTGGGCTGCGAGCAGCAAGCAGCAAGGTCCCCAGCAACCCTGGGGACATTCTGTGGACCAGCCTGTCAGTCAAAGTCTCCCAATTGCAGTGGAAGGAGGACATATTTATACCCCTCTTTTTCCCCTTTCTTTAAAAAAAAAAATTTGAATGCAGCCTGGGGCTTTGTGCATACTAGGTAAGCACTCTGTTCCTGAGCCCCAGACCTAGCTGAAGGACATATTCACAACTCCTAGAGGCTATGTGGGATTCTCTAGGGCCTATGAGCCCAGGAATCTTAGTGATTAATGATATCAATCTCAGACACTGTTGAATACGAAGGACAAAAGCTCACTGATCCTAATTCATCATACCAAGGTGCACCATCCAAGTGATTATAATCCAGGAGAAAATGATGGGGTTATAATCCAGTATTTGCTGGACTCCCCTGAACCTCATTTCCTTGTTGTACATTGGGGTGCAGGTAATGGGTATGAAGCTTTTATTTGATCTGACATTCTTTTGCAAAGATTAATAGGATAAATAATTATAATCTTTGTTGAGTTGATTTGAAATACCTGGGATTATTTGAGGGTTTCCACAAATTTAGGCTTGAGGCTTCAAATGAGTATTTATTTATTAATTTATTATTTAATTAGAGTTTATTAAGTACCTACTATGAACCAGGTACTATTTACTGTTTTGGTACTTTAATCAAAAACTAAGTAAATGAATCTTACATTTTCACCTTTGGAATTTATAGAAGGAAAGAAGAGGGGTCTTTATTCCTTGAAGGAGTGCCTGCTGAGTTTGGGGAAGGGTAGCAGGCACTGGGGTAAGCCAAGGTTATCAGGAGTGGACACAAACATGAAGCTCATGCTGCATTTATATGAAGACATCTTCAGGGTGTGCATTGGTGCCAAGCCAGGATAAGAAAACATACAGGGCCTGAGTAAGGGTAAGGGGTAAATATGGTGTTGCAGTGGAAACTGGAAATACAGATGAGCAGGACACATGGACCGAGCTGCATGAGTACAGAACCTTTATGTGCTGTTGGCACTGGGTTCTCTTAAAACAAACAAACAAACAAAACCAAAAAACAAAACAAACCCCCCAAAATCCCCTCTATTCTGGGACTAGGAAATAGTTCAGTTGATAAAGTGCGGGGGACCTGAGGACTTAAGATCAGATCTCCAGAACCCATGTAAAAAGCAGAGACAGGAGGATTCCTTTGGCTTGCTGGCCAGCTACTCTAGACAATCTGTGATCTCCAAGTTCAGTGAGAGACTCCTGTCTTAAAGCATAAGGTGGAGAAGGGATTGAGGAAGACATCCAACCACCCAACATTGATTGACCTCTAATCTCCACACATGTGCACAGACACAGACACCTGTGTCTGTGCACACACACACACACACACACACACACACACACACAACCCTATTGTGGGGAGCCTGGTGGTGCACACCTGTAATTTTAGCACTGGAGGTAGAAGTAGGAGGATTAGGTGTTCAAGATCATCCTTGCCTTTACAATGAGCTTAAAGCTAGCCTGGGCTACCTGAGACCCTGTCTCAAGAGCTCAAAACAAAAACAAAACAGAAAACTGCTATGAAAATCCAAACACAATAAACCTTAAGCCTGATATTGTGGGACAAAAAGATTCTCTAGGGCCAGGAGTGGTGGTAGTACATGCCTTTAATCTCCACACTTGGGAGACAGAGGCGGGTAGATCTCTATGAGATCGAGGTCAGCCTGGTCTTCATAGGGAGTTCCAGATCAGCTGTGACTACAAGGAAACCCTGTCTCAAAAAGATTTTTTAAAATTCTTTAGAAAGAAATCTAGAACTCGAGTCATTTGTGCTTCAAATAGAATCCAGTCACTCACAGGCCCTGAGGTTAGGAACCCCAGGGGTAGGGAAGGTGGTGTGACCTATGTGGGGGCATAGGGACCCTCCTTCTGGCTCTCCTGGAGAAAAGGAAAACACAAATGAACACAGGAACAGAAAAAAAAGTTCTTTTTGCTTCCTGGTGTTACCTTTAGGTCAGTGGGTTCTGGGGGTAGAATCAGGTTTGCCCTTCTAGCACCATCTTTTGGGGGTTGATTGTTTGTTTGTTGTTTTGTTTTGGTACTGGTGAAAGAATCCAAGGTCTTGCACATGCTAAGCAAAAGTTCTACCACTGAGCCATACCCCCAGCCTCAGCTCATCTTTCTTTTTCTTTACTGTTGTTTCTTCCACTCTGTACATCTTGAACATGCACACATGTACACACACACAGACACACACAGACATAAACACACACACACACACACACACACACACGTACACACACACTCAGGTTAATTTTCTTTTTAAAAAAATTTTTTTTGGTCTTTTTGAGATAGGGTCTCCCTGTAGCCCTAGCTGATATGTGCCCACTTTAGGGACCAGGCTGGCCTGGATCTCACAGAGATTTGTCTGCCTCTGATCCCCGACTGCTGGGATTAAAGCCTGGTTTAAAAAATATTTTATTTATTATTTTTATTTTATGTGTATGAATGTGTTGCCTGCATGTATGTAAGTGTACCCATTGTCGTGCAATGCTCATGGAGGTCAGAGGAGGGCATCAGATCCCCTGGAACTGGAGCTGTAGACAGTTGTGGTGCTGGGAACCAAACCTGGGTCCTCTGAAAGAACAGCCAGTGCTCTTCACCACCGAGCCATCTTTCCAGCCCCATTCTAAATAGTTTATTTTTATTATTTTTATTTTATGTGTATGAGTATATTGTCTGCATGTATGTAAATGCAACCTTGTCATGTGATGCCTGAAGAGGTCAGAAGGGGGCATTGGATTCCTCTGGAACTGGAGTTATAGATAGTTGTTAGCTGCCATGTGGATGCTGATAATCAAACTCAGGTCCTCTGCAAGAGCAGCCAGTCATCTTTCCAGCCCTCTGGGTTCATTTTCATAGAGTATGTCCTTTCACTACTTTTTTTGAACCTGTCATGAATTGTGTGCCCTTCCCGTAGAGTCTGAACACTTGTTGCCTCTGCCATGCCTTTGAACTCTTCATTTTGGCAAACAATACCTATTCAAGATGGGATTCCAGGCAGGAAGTGCCTCTCTGAGGATGGTATGATTGGAACTCTAGTTGTAGTTGCCTGTGAGAACACTGTCAGCCACGGGCTGTGAACATTTCCCTCTGCTGGGAAATGAGCTCAGCTACTTAGCAAATAGACACCCTGTGGAAAGCCGTGGTCAGGTGTGCACCTCTGCAAAGCCAACAGCAAGAAGTGCAGGTCCAGGGGTTTTGTGGGTCATTCTACATATTTTCCTTCTTGTTTGTGTCTAGTATGGATTCATCAACACCTGTCTGCAGTCTCTCGTGATAGAGAAATTTGGTGAAGAGACATGGGAAAAACTGAAGTAAGTTTGTTAAAAGAAAGATGAAGCATCGCTGTAAGCCTCCAGGTGTTCGTTGCTGTTGTTATTACTGTATTTCATGTTTTCAGTGTTTCACTGACTCCTTGATTGAGTCGTGAGCTGAACAGATCACTGTACTTCTGTACTTTTCAGTGAGATTCAGGGACTGGGAGATCAATGAAAGCACCTGAAATACATACACAGAAAAGACTCCAGAAACCGCATCTTTGGGTGTGCGGTATATGTGTGTACACATGTTCAGGTATGTGTTTATGTGAGCATGTGAGTATGTGTGTGTGTGTGTGTGTGTGTGTGTGTGTGTGTGTGTGTGTGTGTGCATATGGAGGTCAGAGGTAAACATCCAGAGTCTTTTTGTGTGTACACGTGTATGTGGTGCACATGTGTGTGTATGCATATGGAGGTCAGAGGTCAACATCCAGAGTCTTCCTTAATTGTTCCTCACCTTATTTTTTGAGACAATATCTCTTGCTGAACCTGGAGTTCACTGATTTGGCAAGATCCAAGGATCTGCTACAGGAGAAACCGGGATCCCCTCTTGGGGTTCTTAGTGTCATTAATAAAAAAATTTAAGAATGGACTCAAACAGAAGCTGAAGGACAACATTATTAGAGTTTAAAAGAAAGCCCCCAGGGCAGACAAGCTGTAAAGACAAGCTGCCTGGTGGAGAATGGAGGGGGAAGGGGGAAAGCCATGCTGTTTAAAGTTGGTATGGAGGCCAGGCATATGGTGGACTAGTAGTCACATGGTAGGGAGAGATGCTTTAGAACAAGCATAAAGAAGCCCAAAATGTTGGTGAAAGCATGCTTAGAAAAGAGATAGAAAGAAGAAAAGGAGCAGTTATACTTTTTGAAGACTTAAGAAGCTGCGAGCCCTTGGCCAGATGAACTAGTGCACCAGAGGTTGGGGATTCCAGGCAGGAAAAGTCCGCCATCTCATTATACACTAGGTATTCCACCTATCTCTTTAGGATAGCTTAAGGTGAACCTTCCTTCCTAGGGATGATACCTTGAGCAGATGATTGACCCAGACCAATTAGAATGCTATGTCTCCACCCAGGCCAGAGATTTTATTCTTTTAACCAGGAGTTACCTCTTAAAGGGCCTTTCTTGCTACTCTAACGGATCCACCTGCCCTCGCTCTTTTCCACCCCCCAGAACTGGGGTTCCAGTCATGCACCACCATGCCCTACTTTTACTTGGGTTTTAGGGATTCGAACTTAGGTCTTTGTGCTTACATGATAAGCACCTTACTCACTGAACCTTCTCCCCAAAGTCCCCATATTTATTTTTCAAGAACATATCGGTCTCTGTTCCAAAAATCATCCTTAAAACAGGGTCCCTATCTTAATAATAATTCACATAATTCTTGCTTGTATTTCATGAATGAACTCTCAAATGTACCCCCATATCACCATAGTAGGGATTGAACTCAGGGCCTTGGATGTGCTGGGCAAGAGCTCTAGCACTGACCTCTCACTGAAGAGAAAGCAATGTACTTTTTCTTTTGGGGGAGGAGGTATTTACTAGGAATTGAACTCAGGTTCTTGAATGTGCTAGGCAAACACACTACTACTGAGCTATATCCCTACTCCTTAGGCATTCCTTAGATAATTCCTACTTTTCCCTTCCTGCCTCCATGCAGAAGTTCCCTAATACTGTCATTTACGTTTCCAAATCACCCCCCATCTGCTTTCTGTATCTTCTGTCTGCTTTCTTGGAGGCCCCCAACCTTCCACTGTGACAAGTTGGGGCTGAAAAGATCTCAGATCACCTGATCCTATGAAGAGAAAGGAATGGAAAAAATATGGAAGATGATTGGCTTTCTCAGTTAATCAATGACATGCAAATTAAAGCAATTATGGTACCACTTTGCCTATTAATCTCCAAAAAATTTAAATGATAATAACCAATTCTGGTTAAGTTGCAGAAACATGGGTAATTGCTCATGGCTCTGAAAACCGGTCCAGTCCTTTCAGAAAGCGGTCTGACAGCATGAACCAAAGTCTGTGAAAACGCACACATCCTTCGAAGTTGGACGTCAGCCTATGAGAATCTATTCTCTGAAAAGCATACACGCCTGCAGACACACGTGTAGATATGTGTAGGAAGAGGCGATGTTGCTTTCAATTTACACAAAATAAATTAAAAATTACGTTTTCAGGGGTCAAAAAACGACCGACCAACCAACAGAATGACAAATGACCTTTGTTTGTGATGCTTACAAGTTCTGGGAGGTAATCTGTGGAACTGTGTAACAGCTCAAAGAAACAAACAAAAAGTAAGAGAACGTTCAAAAGTCCCAATTTTTCCTACTGATTAATTTTCAATGCTTTAATTTTTTGTTTGCTTTCGTTTTGTTTTTTTTTTTCGCTGTTTTGGTTTGTTGTTTTTCTTTTTTTTTTTTTTTTTTTTTTTTGAGATGGAATCACTCACCGTGTAGCTCTGGCTGTACTGAAGAGCCTGGAACTTGCTATATGCACCAGACTGGCCTTGAACTCAGAGATCTGCCTGTCTCTGGCTCCTGAGTACTGGCATTAAGAGTCTGCCACCTTGCCCAGCCTTTAATTGGTTTTGAATTTAAATGAACTTAAAATGCTTAGTGCATGTTTTCCCTCTCTCCTACTACTTACAGTTTTTCCAAGAAAGCAGATTTGTGAATGAACTGATTCCCCATAAGCATGTGGCTAAATTGAGATAGGGTCAGGCTCTGCAGCCTTGTGTCACTGTGGCCCCCACATGTGGGTCTCTCCACCCCCTCGTTTGAGGGAGTCCATCTAGGGCTATTCCTTAGCATCCCTGTGGTCATTTGCTTGGAGCGTCCTAGGTTTGATAAGAAACAAATGTTCTTTCTGAATATATCAGTGAATAATTATGAGAGGTCACAGTGTTAGTTTTCTGATTCTGTGACAAAATACCTGTGAAAATCAACTTAAAGAAAGGAAGGGAAAATCTAAAGACAGGAAAAGTTGATTTTGGATCAGGGTCCCAGAGGTTTCAGTCTGTGGTCACATGGCTGTGGCTGCCACTGTGGGCCTGTGATGAGGTGGATCAAGGCAGGAAGCAAAGGGCACAGCAAAGCTGTTCCACTCAACACATGGGGGCTAGGAAGGAAGGTTTTGGAAACAGTCTAAACTCTACAAACACACATTGTAACTTCTAACTAGGCCCCATCTCCATAGAGCCCATCCTGCTATGGTCTCAGTAGTAGGTGAAGTTAGCATCATCAGAATCCACTCAGGTCAGTGGCACCACCCTCTAGCATCAAACCTTCTACACTGGGGCCTTTGAGGAATATTCCAGACCTAAATCAGAGCAACCCTTTAGTCCAAATTGCTTCACTTTACTGGAAAGAAAATGGAAGCCTTTCAGAAGTTGGGTAGTTTGGCAAACCCCAAAATGCAAGTCAGTCACTAGGCCAAGACACATCAGTATCTTTTAAAATAAAATGTGTATATATATATGTCATATGTGCACATGTATGTAGGTACATGCAGAGGTCAGAAGGGGGCATCAGATCTCCTGAAGCTGGACTTATAGGCTGTTGTGGTCCATCCCACATAAATGCTGGGAACACTCTTAACTGCTAAGCTATTTCTCCAGCGCCAATATCAGCATCCTTCTAACAACCAAGTTGTCTTGGGGAGTGCTTCGTTGAAGACTGAAAGGAACAGCCTTCCATCTATTAAGGACTCACTTTGGGTCAGACACCCCTTTATTAAAGCCGAGCAAGAACACTGCAAGGCAAATGGCGCCTGAGAGAGGATTAACTAAGGAGAGAAAACCCACCCTGAACATGGGTAGTGCAGTTCTTTGGGGTGGGGTAATGACTGTATAAAAACGGGGAAAGGAGAAAGCTGGGAGAATGTCTACCTTCATCTCCCTCTGCTTTCTGGTCCACCCATGTGTGAGCAAGCTCTGGTGACCATGCCTGCCCCACTGTGATGGATTGTGGTCTCTCAAACCTTGACAAGAATAAGTTGCTTCTTGTGAGGTATCTGGTCACAGCAATTGGAAAAGTAACTAAAACAGAGTCCAGGCTTGCAAGGGGATCCAAGAAACACGATCAGAAGCAGAGAACCTAGCATGACAGTGTCTGGAGTTTGCGTTGCTAGGCTGTAGCTCTTTCAGAGTATCTGCTTGAGACCCCAAGGATAGGTTCACATAGTCGGCACCAGCCAGACATCTGTTGTGACTGCAGTGGAAATACAGCTTTAAATCAAAAATCAAGTCTATCTAATAAGCTCAACTAGCTATAAAACCAGCATCATTTAGAGCATACTATTAAAAAAAAATTCTCTATAGTATAGGAAACTCAACCTATAAACACAAATTCGAATTAAGGAAGGTCATTTGCTGTGCCAAAAGATTTGCTTGGGGCTATATTTAAACAACAAATTCCCTATTGTTTTTAAAGTAGATTTTTTGCTGAAAGGGGGAAAAGCCATCAATTCCTGCACAAAATTTAAGAAGAAATGATTAAGTAAAGTGAACTGTCTGCAGGCCTTATGACATGATTTTATTTTATAGGAAATAATCAGAAGCATATGTCTGTCCTGCCTTGCCTGCCCCGCTGGCCTCCCTCTTCTACAGTCTACCTTTACAGGTTCCTAATAATGAAGCCCCCTGTTATAACTCCTGGCTAAAACCTTTACCCAAACTTAAAGAGTGGAAGCAATGATAGATGGGGAAAGAGTACAGCTTTTGGGATCAGCCTTGCCTTCATGTTGTGCCCGGGTTGCTTGCCTGCTGTTTGACTTGGGGGCAATTTTCTACGTTCATCAGGCGCTTGTTCAGCTCTGAGCATGCCCAGATCAGATTGGCCTATGGGCTTGTATGTGGGGATTGACTTGGTTGCTAATTGATGTAGGAGAGCCCAGCTGACTGTGGGTGGCACCATTCCCTGGGCAGGTGATCCTGGGCTATATAAAAAATCTAGCTAAGCATGAGCTCATGAGTGAGCCAGCAAGCAGCATTCCTCAACAG